ATCATTGTAGATCTCCAGTGTATGTTGGGAGAAATGTGTGTGTCCTATCTCAGAGTATATGCTGCACGTGCCCTTCGGGCCCTCAAGAAGGTGGTATATGGCCACGGAAAGGAAGTCTGTCTCGTTCACTCCGCACCCACTCCCACACCCTCGCAGGCCCCTTTCCTGGAACCTCTCCCCTGACAGAACAAACACACCCTTCAGGATTAGTGGCTCTGAACAGTTTAAGGGGAGCATTTTTCTCTGCCCCCCCTGCGACTCCACTGGTGGTCTATTTCCAGTTGTTGCCAGATGTATCAAGTTCCCTGTTTCTTCACCCGCCCCTCCCCGCTCCAGGAGGTTCATCATAGTGACCATTCCGACCACTCCATTTGAACCATTGAAACTGAAATCTGCTTGCTGATGGCCCCTGACAAATTTACGGGGAGGTCCTAGAAAACAGACTGTCCTGGATTTTGCTTCTTTTTCTTTTGGACAACTTGACACAAGCTAAAGTTAGAGTTAGTTGCTGGGAAGAGGAACGTCAATTTAGGAAATGTCTACTGAATTTCCTGGAGGCAAATCTGTAATGCATTCTTTTGATTAAAGGCTGGTGTGGAAGGGCCTAGCACCCCGGGACTGGTGTCCTGGACCCGATAGGAAAGCAGACTAAGTTGGGAACTAAGTCAGTAAGCAGCATTCTTCCTCAGCCTGGGCCTCTGCTCCAGTTCCTGCCTCCAGGTTCCTGCCTTGCATTCCTGCCAGGACTTCCTGGAATATGGACGAGTAAGCAAAACAACCCTCTCCTTCCCAAGCTGCTTTTCCTGTCACCATGTTTAATCACAGCAGTGGGAACCCTAACCAAGACTCGGGCTTCAAACTGAAATGATCTCAGGGATGTTAAGACATCGTCTAAATGCAGTGTTTACTATAAAGTTATGACTGCAGATTCCTCCCAGCAGTGTGGGAGGGTATGTTTCTCACTGAGGAGTAGACTCTGTAGACTATCAAGGTTGGCAGAACACTGGTTTAAGGTCGTGTGAGACGGCTTTGCTTTCAAAAACATCCACAGGCTGGCCCCTACTAAGGAGGCTGCTTTGCCATTTTTTTTTTTAATTTGGCTTTGCTCCCACAATCCCCAGTCTGGCCAACAGCAGCTGTCCATGCTTCTCCTGGGGATGTTTTAAGACAAGCTAAGCCGTACTTGAGAAAGGTCTTCACGAAGCCCTCAGTGAAGGGTGGGCTAGCGTGGTCACACGGACCACCATTCTAAGATCCAACGCATCTGGATAGGCAAACAAGGAAACTGGCAGGGGTGGGTGGCGGGTCCACACACACAGAGAGACTAGAAGAATCCGCAGGCATTTTTTTTCTTACCTAGGCTTCTCTCCTCCCTTCCCCCACTCCACATATTTACTTAGAAGAGAAAACATGAGCACTTTTAAGTGTCAGTTAAAGCCATGAACAAGTGAAGTCTGTGGTTAGAAAGCCAGAAAGGTAGGTAATGCCGGGGCAGAGGGACAGAATCTGCCAGAGCCCGGCTGCACTCCTACTGGTTACTGCACACTGACCAGTTCCCCTGGACGAGTTACTTAACGTTACTTTCTTGAATTGACACCTGGGAATGAGAGCCACCTCGAATGTTTGTTGTGAGGATTACAAGAGACAGTATCTGTTTTCCTTAAGATTCCAGACACTGGGGCTTAATCCCTGTTCTTAGCATTTTACTCCAGGCCCTTCCTAACTGCGTGCCTCCGGGGATGTCTTCCCACGTAGGCGCCGCTGTACTGGGTTTCGATAAGACAAAATTCAGGCATCCACTGAACTGAGGGAGGCCAATCTCGGCGCAGCCCCGGGGCGCAGCTCTGGCTCTGGTGCCACAGGACCGAAAGGTGGTCTAGGCTGTGGAACGCGGGTCTCTGGGCAGGCACTGGAAACCAGCACACGTTCGGGAGCGGGGCCAGGCAGGGATCAAAGCTCTTGCAGTCAGGCCGGGGCGCACCAAAGGGAGGCCGGCGACTTGCATCAGCACAGATTCCGTGATGCTCTGCAGACGTCTGGGGGCTGCTGGGCTTTACGGGAAGCCACAAGAAAGGAAAGGACCGGGGAAGCGGGTCCGGGCGGGGGCGGGCGAGGGCGCGAGGTTTCGCTGGCCCGAAGGCGCGCTCCCGGCGGCGCCTGCTGGTGGCTGGGCGCGCCCGGGACCGCGGAGGCCTTGGAGGAAGCTCCTGTTCCCCTTCTCCTCCCTCCCCCAACCCCGCGTTACTGGAAGGACTGTGTGGGAGAGACCCAGAAGCACACGATTATTGAGTGCGGGTTGGGGGAGGGCCGGACAGCCGGTGCGGCTCAAAGGAAAACCAAAAGTGCGTCTATACGTGCTGTTGTGACATGCGGTTCCTCGGGGAGGCCCCTACCACCCCTCAGTTGCTCACCCCCCTACCACCAAGATTTCTCTAGGGCAATCCAGGGCTTGCACAGCACAGGGCGAGGCGAGTGGGAAAGTGTCACGATTTTTTCTGGGCCCTGCCCCCGTTCCCACCCCCAGTTTTCTGGGGTTTGCTGCTGCTGCTGAGGAAGGGCTGATCCGTTTTGCGTCAAAGGACTGCATTTACTCAGTCCTGCTGAGAGAGGCGCGTAAACACCCAGGCAGGCCAGGACGCAGGGATGAAGGGGGAAAAACAGCCAGGCACCCACGGCTGGTGCGTGCGTGTACGCCTGCCCCACACCCCATTCGCGGGCCTGCAGAGCTGCACTCTGCCGGGAGAGCAGCTGCAGAAGAGCGAGGAGTCTGGCCACCTCCGCTCACCACGCGCGCAAGTCCTTGGGGATGGAGCTCGGGACAGAATGTGTTTTATAACTGTAAACAATGACCCCGAGTATTGTTTGGGATTACCGTATCTTGGGGCCCTTGGGGCGGCCAGATGCCGCCAGCCGTCCCGGAAACGCCAGAGCTTTATATAGAGCCCCGGGAAAGCTTCGAGTTCCCGGCTCTTATTTTTCTTTCCTTAGTTACGCCCCCACTTCGCAGATAAGGAAACTGAGGACTGGGATGTGAAATAGCAGATACGTAGCGCTTCAAAATCCCCAGTGAACCCCAACAACTCATCTTCCTAGTCACCCCTCAAAAAGATCTTTAGGATACAGACAGATGCGCTGCTTAAGGATGGTTAAAAAACTGGGTGTAATTACTGGTTTGTAATCCCAGCACTCGGGAAGTGGAGGCTTAAATAAAGACATATACCGAGGTCGGGGATAGCCTGTGCTACCTGAGACCCTGCCTCAAAAGAAAGAGCTCCTCAACTCCTGGTGCAACACTTATCGGTACACATGGTACCTTCTCTTAGGATGATTGGAGGTCTGGAGCAGACAAGAGCTTCAGAATGTAGTCCGCTCCAAACCTTTCATTATACAGAAGGAAATTGAGACTCCAGACTCGCCCAAGATCTCACAGCTCGTAAATAGCATGGCCAGGCGTTCATACTCCAAGGCCTGCGCTCTTTACCCCGTGCGCCACCCCGCCCAGCAAGGCGGGAAGAGCCAGGAGTCCGGCCACGCGTGCCTCGAACTTTGCTCCAAAACAGCTCAAGGCAACTTGGGGCACACCTCTCGGCCCCCAGTTTGTTTGTTTGAACAGCTTGGTTTGCTTTTAAGGCCTGGTTACTGCTATGAGATGCGTCCTAATTGTCTAGCACAGGGGACGCCCGCAATGTCTCGCTGGCTAATTTTATCTTCAATACCACTTCTAGCAAATTCATTGGAAGGTCAAAACAAAACAAAACAAAAAAACCAAGAGTACACACATACAAAAGGGAAGCAGTGGGCAGCCAGGCTCCGAGGGGAAAATGGGCAGGCCAGCCCCGCCTGGCGGCGCCGTGCCGCACCCCGCCAAGACCCGGCCGCAGGGCGGCGCGGATGCCCGGTGCGTCCAGGACGCCCGCTGTACCGGGCGGCGCCGCTGAGGGTGCGGACGACTGCGCACGGCCGCGCCCTCCCCGCGAGCGGCTCTGAGCGTCGGGTTCTCGGCCTCGCGGTGGCGCCGCACTGAGCCACCCGTCTCCGCTTCAGGGCTGCGATTGTTTTCTAAAACCCGGAGCCCGAGCCCGCGCGGCCGCTTTCGGGCTCCGCCCCGCGCCCCTTTCTTTTGGGGGTGGGGATGGGGGGCCGCGCTTGGGAGCGGGCAAGGGAATCCCTCTCCCTCCACGTCACCCGAAAGAGAGGAAACCCGCACTCGCGTCCTCTAACGCAAATGACCATCTTTGGCAACGTGCGCCAATGGAACAGACCAAGGGCGCTGCGCCCCGGGGGGTGGAGGAGATCCGCAAGAACCCAAGCGGCCTCGGCGCCCCCAAAGTGCCAGGGCCGCGCGCTCCCACCCTCACCACCGCCCGCCTTCCTTGCGCGGGGTGTGCGGCTGGCGTCAGCGCGACCGCGAGCAGAGCCGGGAGGGGAGCGCCGCGCCCGCCTCCTCCCCTCCCGCGCCTCTTCCTCCTCCCCCTGGTCCCCGGCCTCCTCCCCCGCCGCCTCGAGCGCTCCTCCCAGCAAGGTGGAGTCTAGAGTTGACGTGAGTCGATCCACATGGTGCGGGGCTGGAGAATAAAGAGTGTGGAGTTGAACTCGTGCCATTGTAGTGACTCATCTCGGGCAGAGCGCAGGGGCTTGGAGCGAGACAGCGAGCGGCGCTCGGCAGGGACTGAAAGGGAGAGAGAGAGAGAGCTTGAAAGGGGAAGAGAGAGGGAGAGAGGGAGGGCGAAGCAAGGCAAGACGCGCGAGGCCAGCCGGTCCCGGAGCGGACACGGGGTGCAGGTCACTGCGACGCGGAGCCACGTCCCTCTCAGCACCGCTCAGCCTGGAACCCCACGGGCACTGTCCCGCCGGCGCGATCGCGGCCGCTGGACCGGCGTTCACTGCCTTGTCCTAAGTCAAGTGTCCGAGTCGCCGGGAAACTCAGGCGGCGAGTTGGCCACAGGAAGTTTATTCTCGGGCTTCTTTTCTAAAAGGAGGAAACAGAAGTTTTTCCCTACCGGCAGCTTTTCTTTTTCGCTTTTTTGGCGCCCTGTGAGATTGGGGAGGGAGTCCCCCAGAGCTGCCAAGCGACACCCGCTGGGCTCCTAGTCTTTTTGCGTTGCCCATTTTTGATCCAGCCCGTGGGTCCCGGCGGAGCTCCGGCTGCGCGCGGGGGCGGAAGGGCGCGCGCAGGGGAGGGACCGAGGGACGCGCCGACTTTTTAGAGGGAGGGACCCGGTGGACAACCGGTTCCGCGGAGCTTGCAGAGCAGAAACGAAGTGCGGTGAGCGGCGATCGGGGGGTCACTTCCCGAGTGTCGCCGCCTCCCTGTCTGCCTCGGTTGAGGGACAGCCCCGGAGCGAAGAGCCCAGCTCGCGGCGGGGCCGGTGGACCAGCGAGCGCGCAGCAGAGTGCGCGGCCGCGGCGAGGGCGGGGAAGAAAACCACCCTGTTTCCTCTCCGGCCCCCACCGCGGATCATGTACCAAGATTATCCCGGGAACTTTGACACCTCGTCCCGGGGCAGCAGCGGCTCTCCTGCGCACGCCGAGTCCTACTCCAGCGGTGGCGGCGGCCAGCAGGTACGTGCGGGCCCGGGTGCACCTGGCGGCACCGGCAGACTCTTGACCTCTTCTCGCTCCCACCGCCTCCACCCTCAACCTCCGTCTTTACCCTTTCTTGGCTGGGCTAGAAAAATACTTAGGGGTCACCGTTGTTAAGTTGTGGGGTTTTGTTCTGTTCTGCCCCACCCACCCCACCACTTTTTTTTTTTTTTAGCAAGCGGAGAGTGGACTTGAAGAGCCAATAACACCCCCCCCCGTCCCCCGCCACAGCCTCGCCTTCTCTTACTTTATTTTCCAGAAAAGCTTCTGGAATTGCAGGTCCCCTCTTGGAAGCCTGTTGCCTCCTTCGGAGCGCACTCCCCTCCCCTTCCACCCTCCCCTTTCTCGGTGGTGGATAGGCAAGGAAATCTTTGCGCCCCCCTAAGCTCCCTCCCAACCGTCAAAGACCCTACAACGAAGGCCTTTTAGCCGTTCCTTCTTCTGTTTTCCTTCAGTCTTAGCTGTTTTCTGAAAAGGGCTGGGGACTCAAAATACGGTTGGGCTCCTTCAAGCGATCCGGAGGGAGGGCTAGGGTTGCCTCTGGGAATCAGGTGCGAAGGTCAGGAAGGGAGAAGCTGGCTTTGATTGGCTCTTGACACCTCTTGTGCTCAGCCCCCACCCCAGCTTCCGGTGAGGGTTGGGCAGGAACCTGTACTGCCCCGGAGAGCAGAACCTTGAGGGGTTTGGGGATACCCGGGGCAAAGAAGCTGGCAGAAAGAAGTGGGAGAACGAGACATCACTTGGGCTCCTGAGTAGTGGTTTTAGAAGTAGAAAAACAACTTGTTTCTAAAGCAGGCAGACCGGTTTCCATTGGAGGGATTCTGCCTGTACTCTGTGTCTATAGGATACCAAACGGGTACTGACTGGTGGGGTGGTGGTTCTAGTGGGGTACCTGACTTGTGTAGCAGCACACACACTGTCTCGTGAGGGAACTGCATGAACTCACAAGGTCCTCCGCCACCCGACGCCCTCTGGAGTTCCTAGCCAAGTTGGCTGCAGTGTGTGTTACTCCATAAGGCCATGGCTATGGCCTTGGCTTTGGCCTCCAGCAGTCAACCCGATAGGAGTTGGGGTGGGGGGAGGGCCCCAAGAAAAGATGGACTGAGCTGGGGAATATAATAAAAACATACCTTTCTTTGTAATTCGAAAAGAGGGGCACCTCCCTCAAGATAATGTCCCATGTCTGGTGAGTCCCTCCAAATGATTTTTCTGTGTCTTTTCCTCTAACCCCCGCCCTACCTGCTAAACACCTACTGTAAGAGCCTGGTCTTCACGGAGGGTGCAGTCAATGGACCCTTGCTACCGAAGTGATGAGTTTTAAGACTTATCTGAAAAGTCATTGATTATGTTTGCATCCCAGCCCGGTGGGTGATTTGTGTTGAACCAAAATTTTATACCTGTCCAGAACTTTCCAGTTCAATAACCCACCCCACATTCCTCTCCTTCCCCAGCCGACAGACATTTCTGTTTCTTTCACTAATGAGTTGGAGCCAGTGACCAGTGACACAGTGCAGTCTCCCTGCCTGGAGCTTGGCTCAGACTCTGGGACCTGGATGGGAAGTCAGACCGGACATCAGTGCCCCAACTGAATAATCTGTGTCACTAGGGCTTTGAGCCCAGGATATGAGCAGAGGCAATTCCTTGTTTTGGAAGCAAATCAGACAGGAAACCAAGCTAGGACGAAGGAAGAGAGCTCCGTCCAGCAGTGTAATGGAGCCTCATTACCGAAGCGAAAAGCAGCTGTTGGCTAATTCCTAGCATGCTGTAACACATGAGGATTTTGCAATTAGCAACAACCAATGCATGGGTTCCTCAGGTCTGTCTGCCCATTCTACTCCGTAGCATGAGCAAGAAGTCTCTCAACCCAGAGGGATTGGCAAGGTAATGCCGCCACTTTGGCCAAGTTTCACCATGGCCTCTTCACTCCTTGTTGGTGTGGTGGGTGGGAGATGGGAAGTGGGGGGGGGCTGTTCCCTTCCTTGCTCTGGCTTTCTCCAAAAACCAAAAAAGATTCTGTGGTCCCAGTGATAAGCCTCAGCTTTTGTTCCTTTCCAAGTCTGTGCTATGACCCCACCCTGATCTGGGCTCAAGGTAACTTTATTACATACCAGATAAAGTCTGTAATCGACTATTCTCCCAGCCTCCTTCATGGGGAAATTTTTCCAGCGGTTAGTGACTGGGGCCTTCCTCCTTTATGGCACTGTAATGGGCTGATCGTTGTGAGATGTTCCTGGTTTTCCCTTGAGCAAGTGGATATGATTTTTTTTCCTCATATCCCCTTGTATCCCCATAAATTTGATGTCTAACCAGTCCCAAACTCCACCCCTCAACATACAGATAAGGCCTGGTCTTAGCACTGAGCTCCACTGACTTGTGGGTTGGGAGGCACACAGCTCTTTGTTAAAAAATCGCTGCCTGTGTATATGGCAGGAACTTGAAACATGAAAAATATTTCCTGTTGCAACTATAATCTCAATCTCAAAGGTTGATCGCTGGTAATCTAATTTTCTTGGGGATAGTTGTATATACCTCCCCCTCTTGGAGTTCACTTTGTTGTTATCTTCTTTCTCCTGGCTTTCCCAGCTTAACACCTCCAGATATATGCTGTGCCTTGCTTCTTGGCTGTTACGGTTTCAGGGCCCTGGCGTTACGCAATCCAGCCAGTTACACAAACAGAGGTCATTTCATAACTTGTTTTCATCAGCCAGGCCCCCTTTAAATGAAAAAACAAAACAAAACAAAAACAAGACACGGAACTTTTCCAAGGTTGCTTATCTGTTTCTAGATGACTTGTGAGAATAAGTCAAGGCTGTTTCCTTTTGGAATTAAGGAACATCAATCAGAGCAGCTTTTTCCCCCTCTGCCACATTCTCCCAACAGGGGCAGACACACACACACACACACACACACACACACACACACACACACACACACTTCCCCAGAGTGAACTTTTGCCTACTGTACCAGGCTGGGATATTCCTTACACACACACTCTTTACACACGCACGCATGCACACACAGACACACACACACACCACACACACACCACACACACACACTCCTTACGCATGCACGCATGCGCGCGCAGACACACACACACACACACACACACACACACACACACACACACACACACACACTTTCCCAGAGTGAACTTTTGCCAATTGTACCAGGCTGGGACATTCCTTGCATCAAACAACTTTTACCAGAAATGACTGTGATTTCCCAAATCAGCCTCAACCATACCTCTCTAATGCCCCCTACAGGACATCTTTGGAAGCACTATCCTGGGAATGTATTTTTCCAGTCTCAGGATGTTAAACTTGGTTAGTTTTCCAAATTCTTAGAATTTTTCTTTTTATTTAAGGCAAATAAATGCCATATATTTAGCAATATCTAGCTATAAGCAGCTTGAATTAAAAGTGATTTTTTAAAGAAAAAAAACACTCTGTTGTTGTCTTAAATAAAGCCTGATTGGGAACGGCGCGCTTTTCTCTGTTCACAAGGGTGCCCTCCACAGTGTTGTTCTCTGGACACTTGTGTGGGGACATGCCAGGAGAGTGGGAAATGCAGATTAAGGGTCTTCTGCTTTTTCTCTTCTCTGCTTTTCCATGACCTCACAGATGTTGTGGATGTAGGATCAAACAGAATGTCATCCCAGGAATGCATCTGTTCCGTTGACTCTTGGTGGTGGAAGTGACTCCATTTCTTCATCTCCATCAGGGTGAAATGGCAGTCATGAACTGTCTGAGTGGCAGCTGAATTTCCCCTTCCAAAATCCCAGTGCATTTCCATTGCATTTCTGCCTGTCTTATTATTTATGGGGAGTGTAAGATTTGAGAGCCTGGGGGTTTGTGTGTGTGTGTGTGTGTGTGTGTGTGTGTGTGTGTGTTGCTACAAACACATCAGAACCTACACACCTCATTGTTTTCTCCATCCGTGCTGCTTTGGAGGGCTGTATGTTTAACTGAACACTGGGGGCGCTGGACTCAAAGGCTTTGCAACAAAAGTTCTTTTGGAATTGTTTTTAGTGTGTTTGGGAAATTCTCCCTGCTAACATATCTTCCCTTGAAAGATGGATTTGATATTTGAAAATTACTAAGAGGTCTTTGGAGTTAAGTCTTACGTATGAAGTCTGAATGGACAGTCTGGGGTCCAACACAGAGTGAGACCCCCAAGTCCTGGTTTTGAGAATGAGGGAAGTCAACTTCCTGGTCTATGTGTTGAAAGGAAAAATAATAGCTTCTTCGATGAGTGGATATGTCTCTTCTCTATCGCATATAGACAGAGGCAGGTGTTTCTCTGAGTCCAAGGCCAGCCTGATCCCAACGCTGGTCCTACTGACAGCAGAGGGCGGAGTATCAGGGACATTTGGAAAGGGTTCCTGAGTGAGTTCTCCAGTGTTTGGGAGTGGGGCTCTTACCAGAGAGAGCAATGGATCCAGGACATCTAGGGACAACTCTGCAGCAGCCTCTGCCTGTCTTTTCTCTCCGATGCTGGCTTTCCTTCACCTTGGCCATCAGGCACCA